ATAATTTATCTAAAAAGATAGTAAAAAAAAAAAAAAGAAGAGGAAAATATGAAAGTGAAAGTTTATTATGCTATATGGATATATGAATTTTTGTCCGTCTATAAAGGAGCCACCGATGTTAATAACATCGTTGATTCTCAACATCGAACAGAACGAGGCACTCATTTGTCCTCGACGAGAAAAATTAGAATACTAATTTTTTTTTTTAACCCTCTATAATCAGAGTTTTGTAAAGGAAGAGATTGTAAAAAAGGATTAGAAATTTTTTATTCAACTTTTAATCTAAGGACAGATACTTTTAATCTAAGAACTAACATATTAATGAATTGTTTGATATCGAATGCAATGATAAAAAAATATACATATATGTATATGTATAAAAAAATAGAAAAATATGTAACTAGAAAGTCACATGAGGATTATAGAGGATTAAAAACTAACGCTCGTTTTCCTTTAATAAAAATGTTAAAAATATGATATCTTTGTAATAAATTAAATTAAAAAGAAATTAAAAATTGTAAAACATCGAACGAGAACTAGTCTTCTTGGAAAGATATATATAAAAAGAAAAGCAATTTAATTCGAGCTAGTTTTTCAATCTCGTATATATAAAACGAAATTCGCGTAAAAATTCTACTATTCTAAAATTCTGCAGTTCTAAAAGCCTTTCTCGAGTTAATCAGATAGAATCTTCGAGCATTTCTCGTCCGAGTTAATGGCGGGAAATAAAAAAAAAAAAAAAAAGAAAAAAAAACATGATCGAATAGCGTTGCGCTCTCGTTACAGGCCAAAGCACAAAAAGCGGGCGGCCAATAAAAGGTGAACCGTTTTAACGCTTCTTGTTTATTCAGTAATACGCAACTTTCGCCAAACGCGTCACGCGTGGAAAGGGTCGCTTTCTTTTCTCTGTTTTTTAGCGGTATAGAAATAACGATACTTTTCGATGGAAATGAAATAAAAAAAAAAAAAAAAGAGAGAGAAAAAATACGAAGGAGCAATGCGAAGAAACTTTTTATATTTTATTTCTTAAAGATATATATATATATACGAAATTGCTTCTCGAAATTGCTTTAGAGAAATTTTATTATATCTATTAGATTTCGAAAGAATGAAAAAAATTTTATATAATCGATAACAAATATTATTTGTTTTTTCTTATGGATCACAATCAAGTGGATATATTTCTTGGATACAATTTTAATATTTTTATCGTATTTTCTATGTCTCGATATTGAGTAGAATAGAACAGAGAACGAAATATAAAAACTTTCCTTTCAATTTTCCCATTTGACGAAACGAGAAACCAAGAAATCGATTTGATAAAATTAGATTAATTAGTTTACGTCAGAAACTACGTTGTATTCTAAAAAATTCCGGGAGGAGGAAAAGAAAAATATGTTGCATCGAATTTATCGGTTTCCTTGACGCAAAAAATGACGTCGGACAAGCGTTGCAATAAAGCTTCTCGCGTATGGCCGGTTCTCGAAAGAGGGCGACACAATCGTGCGAGGATTCCCGCACGTTTGAGGGAAGGGAAAAGAAAGGAGAAAAAAAAGGGACGAAAAAAGAGACTCGGTGACTCGGATAACGGAATACGGTATCCCCGTTCGCAGGAATGACCGGCTTCGATGTATACCGTTGCGTCATTTAATGAAATCATCCGATGCGTTCCACGATTCTTCGAGGAAATCCCGGCCTTCGCGTGAGTGTGAATAATAGCCAAAGTGGGGGAAAGGGAACCGCGAAGTCTAAGAAAACTTGCCAACGCGACGAATCGATTAAAAATTACGAGAATGAATCGCTCTCTGAATTAAAATAACAAAGAGATAAAAGTGAAGAATGAAAAGAGCTCAACTCTTAGATATTCTTATTTTGAAAATACGATCGTATGAAGGAAATGTAACGATAATTTTTTTTAACGATCTCGAGCATCTTTTACAAACAGTGAAAAAAACGTTACGAGTTGATTAAACCATGTACGTTTATGAAGTGCTACATCATGTTTTTATCGAACTTGATACAACAAAAGATAAGGAATAAAAGAGTAATAATATCAGTGAAGAATTAAAAATGATCGAAACGAAGAATTTGGCTGTATAATAATGAGATTTCATTAGAGAAAGCATGACTGACTTGATTGATCATTCGATAATCTTGTTCGCCGAATTATTGGCTTATGACGGAGCTATTTCATCGAGTCACCGTGCGAGCATAAGTAATCGCCTCGGCGTGTGGGCTTGATTTAAGGCCAGAGAATTTCCCACGTCGCGCTATTATTAGGCTGTTACAACCGCGCTTGTTACGTTCGCGCATCGGAAAGGTGATAGCGACGCAGCAACTTAGCCAGCCACTGGCCCCGAATTCTATATATCGTTTCATAGAATTAGACTCGAGATAATCGATCGATCTTACTTATATATTTTATTCTGTGAAATTTTTCACATTTTTACTAGTGAAGTAAAATTTTCATTACGTTACGAAAATATTATTAAGACGAAACAACAACAATTAATTATTAATCGCAAAAATATCGATAATCGGAAAAATTGAAGGAGAATAGATAAGGGGTGATGCAAAAAAAAAAAAAATCGCAAATACAACGGAAATGATGATTTGAAAAATTGCTCACAAGTTCATTAGCCGTTTTCTAAATTTATCCCAACCCACGAACAATTTCAAGTTTACTTTGGATCAGATTCACGATTCAGAATAACGGAAAGAACATTTAAAACGTAGATCGCTTTCCATCATTGCTAATATAATTATCATTGATATATATCGTCACGATTATCATTGATTATTTGCTTTACGAATATCCGAAAGATAGAATGATTCATGATACACGATTTCGCGGTTAAGGCATGACTGATGACTCACATTAATTACCGAATAATCTTTCAACGATACTACGGCGAATATTTCGCGGGAAATTAGGCAAACGATTTCGATGGAAGTTATCCAACTAATGTAATCATCAAATTATTTTATTATGTAAATATTTCTAATTTTACTCATAGTTCTTTTTAATTATTCTTGGAAAATGATATTCCAATAGAAACGGTTAAAAATACGCCAGAGAATTTCTAAAAGTTTTAAAAAGATCTATTTTCCAAGAAAATTTACGAGAACAATGAAAAGCGTGAGACCGCTCCTATTATTCATGTATCAACGATGCTCTGTGATGTTACACGCGCGTATATACACGTGGCACAACATACCTCCGACTGTAGATTCGAGGTTAAACACGGCGGGAGAAACGAAAGAAGAGAAACTCGGCGTGGACGAGAAGTTGAATCGGCTTCACGAAAATCTTCCATGGCCAACGGGTCACCCACGATCGTCACAATGTGAACCATTAAAGGAGACGACACAATGAGCTGTTCAAATATTTTAATCCTTACACGACGCCATATTACGAAATACTTTATGATGCGCGCGCAGGATGCGTTGAAACGTACGTAAAACGAGAGACTATGAACAAAATAAAAATTCTTAAATTCTCTTAAAGTTAAGTTTCATGTAAGTTATTAATTTAATTTAATTTTAAGAGAATATAGTTCGTTTTAATTTTATGCATTTTATGCTTCGTTGTTTCTTATTTAAAGACCTAAGATCCGATATAATTTTTAGATATAAAATGAAGATTAAATAATTAAAATAAATTGAAATATCTGGTATCACTAGCAATGAGAAATCGGGGAATTTGATCTTGTTTTGATTTCAAAGATGAAATAGTGAAAGTAGTCGTTAGGCGCGAGTGATTTTTCCATTATTTTTATACTTTCACTATATGTTCTTCTTCAAGTGGATCGATAACACATAAGAGGATAAAAAGAATATCTATTTTACTTTTCTTTTGAAATTAACCCTCCCGCAAGTAAGTCTAATTAAAATAACTTGATACAATAATAGATATGCGTAAATCCAAAGCGAACGATACAAGTAAAAAGCAATCGAGACGGATAGATATTTTTCGAGAAACCAAAGCACGGAGACCTGACAACTTGATTTCACTCGAACGACCTACATTTTGCCATCTACCTCTATTCTAGACGAAAAATTGTAACATAACGAATAAGATGAGTATTTAGAAATAAATTTGTTAATGAAGAAACTGTTTTTCTTTCAAATTTTATAAATTCTCTAACCGTATCTCCATAGATTTTATGTTGCTAATTTGAAAAATATCAATAACTTAATAAAAATTTATTTTAGTACACGATTACGTTTATCTTCAACATCGGTGGATAACTACGATGAATCAAGTCGAAAAAGAAAAAAACTTTTCAAGAGAGTGTATAAAAATTGTAAATCGTGAAAACGGTGCAAGCAGAGACAAAAATCGACTATTGTTATTGGCACAACAATACGGATATAGCAATATACGATACATGCAAATAAAGAAAAAAATTAAAAAAAAAGCTCATCGCATGAAAAACAACAAGTAAAAATACCGGAATTATTTATCTCGAATAAAAACAAAAAAAAATTATTCTACTATAACGGAGTAATACGTATATTAGCAGAGGGAATTTAAAAGAAACGAAGAAAAGAAAAACAGAAATAAAAAAAAAAAAAAACGTAAGAGATCGTCCTTCGGGTGGCTCTATCGGAGACATAACTTTTTTTATCGCTTTTTCTCGCGCAATACCGGCAATTGTTGCAATGGCGCGGCAATCCATCGTCAGAAAATCTCCAAAATGAATCTCATTCGTTCGATTTATGACTCACGAGTAGTTCTCTCAACTTCAAGGTTGTGCAACTTTCCAAGATAATCGAAATATCGTCTAATGAAATAATATGTTCTACTTAACGATATATTTCTTGTTTCTTTCGAAATAAAATATTATAAAGACGTATTTCGTTTGATAAATTGAAAAAAAAAATTAATCATTTACCGGTTCTAAATTTTATGAAAATACAGAAATTTTGCGATAAAAAAAATATGTCGATAGAGACTTTCCGATAAACGAATTTTTATTTAATTTATTGGTACATACCTTCAGCACAAGATGCAATGAATTTTCCATTACTGGAAAAATTCATGTCGAGGACAGGGCCCGTGTGTCCCTTCAGCGCGCCAACCACCCAAGAATGCGTGAACTCTTGTTGCGTTTCGCGTCTCTTCTTGTTTTTAGCACGTTTGTTGCTACCGCCGGCCGCCCCAATCGATCCGCTCGTCGAATCTCTTGGTTCTTCGAACTTCACTTTATCCGATTCTGTGACATCTGGAAGGATAAAATTTATTATCTTTTACCGTACACCATTGCGAACGAAAGTAACACGAAAATAAAAGGAAACGGATGGTACAAATGTTTGAGAACATATCACCGATGAATAGTAAGAAACTATGGAAAACGAGAAAAAGATTATGAAACCGAATTTTCTCGCGACGATAAAGGCAATGATATTATTGTTAATTTATCGTTCAAGTTTATTTATTTTAAAAAATTAAAATTTAATTTCTAGTGATTAAGAGCATTGAAAAAAAAAATCATGAATCTTTAATATCCGATAATCGAACGACACGATATTAATAAAAAGCTTATTAAATTATTAATGATTGATTAAATATGCGTGATCTTTTATTCCTATCGATATCACAATCTTCATTATATTTTAATATTAGAAGAATGAAAAGAAATATTATTATTATTACACTTGTTATTATCTATTGTTATTATTATATTATTACTCTATTATTATTATCAAGTGAAAAAAAGTTTTAATTTAACACAATATAATATCATCGCCACCATGTAATAGTAAAACTATTTCGAGCCACGTGATACACACAACATTCCTATCTCCGTCACGTTACATCTCGTCTCTCGTGGGAAGTCTTTCAAAACATGCTACCGAACGCGGCAAATAACCTTAACTGTGTTGTATGTTTACCTCTTCTTCACATATAGTAATGTTTTTTTTTTCTCATATATTTAAAACTTAAAGTTGAACACTGTCTCATTTTATCTCAAATAAACTTAAAGCAAAACATTGAACGCACTCTGTATGGATAACTAAACTGGTATAAAACTGTAAAACTTTTTCGCACTGATCACAAATTAGAAGAACTGGAAGAAGAACTTGGAAAAATTGCAAGGAAGATCTTGTTCGTATGGAAACTTGGTGAATACTAAGTGACAATCGCTTGATGTTCGCCCTTTTATACTATTCTTAATCTGTGGACAGGTACATTTAATTTTCGGGGAAATTGAACGAATCCCTTCCAATCTTTTTCGTCCTATCCCTACCCCATCGCATAGGACCTCTTTTCTCATTGGTTGCAATTTAAATTGTCAATGTCATACAATGTCATAGAATGTCCTTAAAATGCCATAAATATAAAATGTCATAAATATAAAATGTCATAAATATAAAATGTCATAAATAAATGTTTAAAAATTTATGTTTTCCTTTTTATTTATTTATAATTAATAAATAAGGTAATTAATAATAAGTTATAATTAATAATAAGTTATAAATAAACACTGAATTTTTTTAATGAAAAAAATTGTAAATATTTATTGTAATAAGAATATTTTATTTTACATAATAAAATATTTATTATTTGTAATATTTATTCACATTTATTATAATTTTAAATTATAATAATTTTAAATTACAATTCTCTTTAAAATATAAAAAATAAACATTAAATAAATAAAAATATCTTGAATCTAATAAATTTGAAGGAATAATATTTATTTTTGAATATTTAATATTTATTTTTTTTATTATAAAAATAATTCTATTATAACCTAAGACTGTAAACAATAAAAATATATTATATATTAAATATTTTCTATTTTTAATAATTATTTATTATATAAAATAATTATAAAACAATTCACAATTTTATTCATTAATTCACAATTATTCATTATTGTATTCTGATTTTTTGTTTTCATTTCACAATGATACAATTCTAACATAAAAAAAGAAGTATTTTTAACAAGAAGTATTTAATAATAAATTATTTTATAGAATAAAATGATGAAAGAACTGGTTAAACTATTTTTTTTTATTAATTTTTGAATCTTCGTTAAATTCAATAATTATAATATGTATATATGTTGAAAAAAAATATATCAAAATTGTAAAATTAATACTTGATATTTAAAAATTATAAAAATAAGAGAAGGAAGAAGAGAAAAAAAAAAAGGGAGAAAAAAAATTATTTTTATAGGAATCTTACAAAACCACGTGTTGAAGGAAATATTCATTTGAATTATTCAATATTTGCTTATTTTTCGCAATCATTATGCAAATGAAAATCAAATAATTTTCAAATCTGTTTAGCAATCCAAGAAGCATACATGTATTAACAAAAGATTCCATAATAACGAGTCCTTGCATTTTTACTATGCTTTTATATATATATATATATATATTACATATAAAATTTACAATTTTTGCAATATAAATTTCCTTAACTATCATCAACAATTTATGAATTTTTTTTGTTTGATCACCATCATCGAAATTATTCAAAGAAATATAAAAAAAATATAAGGTTTTATTTATTAATCCTTTTCAAGAAACGTATATTGCAATATTAAATCAAAAAAAAAATATATATATATATACAATAATTAAATGAAGTATACATATTTGATCAGAAAATTTAATATTATATAAATAAAAAATTATTCAATAATATTAATCCAGAAAGAAAATATATATTAAACAGCTTTTTATATAGAAAATACTTATATTATTTCAAAAATATAAGTTAACTTATAATCATTATTCGTGATTTATTTATGTCCACATTTTGGGATACCTTTCACTAGTCATTAAATAATGCGGAAAAGCAATCAGTAGAATTGTAAATCAAAGGTTTAAACTACCTGTTTGTCAGTTTAGTTACCTGTTAAAGTAAACCTAAACTAAAATATGACAAATAAAGTAATAAACTAAGTAATAGTAAACAATAGTAATATTGGTGTAGTTACAGTTATGTGGTTATAGGAGTGTGGTTAGAAATGACCTGGCTGGTTGGCATTTTATGCTCTTGAACAATAACACCAAAATTATTATTATACGGAAAAGTGTCATAAAAGAAATATATATACGTTGCTATATATATTGAGTTTAGTAAATATTTTTGTTTATATTATTGTTTATAACATTTGTTTATACAATACTTAGTTAGCTAGTGGAAAATAATCGCATAAAAGTTTAAAAAAAAAAAAGTGAATTGAATTAATTTCATACACTGGATTAATTCCTTGAATTTTTATACGATTGCCATTTGAACTAATATTATATAAACAAATATTATTCATAACACTGTTGTTTATTCAACAAATTACGATTTGATCAAGTTTGAAAGTAAACAAATCACGATATGTGAATAATATCAGTTTTGTTGAAATAATGGCATAATTAAAAATTTGCAAAATTTGCATTATTGATATGAAAAAAACAACAAGAACGACAATAATAATATTATTGTTATTATTAATTTTAACTATTATAACTTCTAATAAATTTAAAATGTATGATATGTTAATGAACAAAAGTATTCGCACATTTTTTAAAATGGTATAATTTTTTTAGAATTGGATCAAATGATTTGAAATTTTTTTTTAGATATTAAAAGAATTATATAAAAGAATAGTTTACTAAATATATAAAAAAAATTGTTTTAAATTTCTATTGGTCGAAATTGTAGAAGAAAATGTAGGAAAAATCATGATTTTTAATTTTCTATGCCTCTATCGAAAATTTAAAACATATTCTTTTTATTAAATCTAAATAAGTTATAAAAAAAATTTATAAATTTCCGTAAGAATATACGTTCAAGTTTTTTCTCAAATAAAAAAAAAATATATATAATATTTTATTCCTTTTATCTTATTTATAATTTTAAATTAACAATTCAAAATCAAAGACATTCAAAACAAGTTATGATTGTTTGAAATAAATATATTACGATATATTTTGTAGAATAATAATAACAATTAAAAATATATAGCATTTAAAATCTAATATTGATATGGAAAAATTATATTTATTATTATAACTTCAGTAAAAGTTAAGAGAAAAATGGTCTATTTGCTTTGACCTTGATATATGTTGTCAAGGACACTCTCTTCAGTGCAACCCTCGCAAGCTTATTTTTATTAAAAAGTTAAAACAATTAGTTTTCCGGATATTATTTAAAAAATTTTTTTTTAAATTGCAACAAAATGATCAAAATTACCTTAAATTAGTCTCAAATTTTGGTATAAAATTTTGAAAAATCAAAAAGTGATAATTAATACCGGATAGCAAAAGTTCTTAACATAAATTGGAATAATTTTAATATAGTTTATAATAATTTTATAATAATCGCATATACTCGGGAATAAAATTATTTTTCCAAAATAAAAGAAAGCGTAAACAATCTCTTTGTTTTCCTCTCTCGATCTTAATATTCTAGTTTCCTTGAACTTATTCCTTAAATTTTTCTTTTTATTTTCTTTATCTTCAATTATTAACACATGTGAATTCGAAGAAGAGAATTTCAGTTTTCTCAGATTTTTATTCTTATTTCCTTTCGCTTCCTCCTAGCATTCGGAAACAGAAACAACTTTATGATAAAGTTATAAATGTTTATGGTGAAGAACAGGTGAAAGGTTACATTTAATAACCTCTTTATTTTTTTTTCTTTAGAAAAATGTTCGACGTGTCTCCATCGCAGATGCCTTACTGATTATTCCTTCTAACGAAATGAATTACTATATTAAAAAAATAAATAACGAAGAATTTCAATGGATTTTGTAAATATTAATAAAAACAACGCAAACAGGAATATACAAAAAATTTGTACTATACGATAATAAGGAATAATAATAATAATTATCAGAGATGTAGTTATACATTTTGGCGTTAAAAGAATAAGTAACGAAGAATTTCGATGCATTTTGTAAATATTAATAAAAACAACGCAAATAGGAATATACAAAAAATTTGTACTGTACGATAATAAGAAATAATAATAATTATCAGAGATATAATTATGCATCCTGGCGTTAAAAGAATTGTAATATATACATATAAAAAAATATATACATATATAATATACATATATACATATAAAATATAAAGTTTCATCGAAATCGAAATTTGACCTACACAAAAAAAAAAAAGCGATTTTACAAGAAAAAATGTAAAAATTTTTAGATTTATTGCAGTAAATCGAAGTTAAAAATAAAAAATGGAATATATATTTTTAATT